CACAGGAACTTTTGTTGTTCAGTAGATATTGTAAATGCCACAATGACGTATCAAGGATCGCGAAGAAGATATTGACAGTAGCGCTTGGAGTTTATTCAACAGACCTATGAAAACAGCACTGCTTTATCCTTTTAACTGACTCAGTCAAAGCTCACTTTTTACCTCTCCTGGCGGCCATTATGCAACGGCCATCTTATACCCAACCTCGCGGTCTCTTCCTGCAGTACGGCAATTAGTAGAACCCTCTCCCCAGATGTATCCTACATGATATGACATACTCTCATTAAGTAAATGCTGCTCTTCCTGCAGTACGGCAACTAGTAGAACCCTCTCCCCAGATGTATCCTACATGATATAACATACTCTCATTAAGTAAATGCTGCTCTTCCTGCAGTACGGCAACTAGTAGAACCCTCTCCCCAGATGTATCCTACATGATATAACATACTCTCATTAAGTAAATGCTGCTCTTCCTGCAGTACGGCAACTAGTAGAACCCTCTCCCCAGATGTATCCTACATGATATAACATACTCTCATTAAGTAAATGCTGCTCTTCCTGCAGTACGGCAACTAGTAGAACCCTCTCCCCAGATGTATCCTACATGATATAACATACTCTCATTAAGTAAATGCTGCTCTTCCTGCAGTACGGCAACTAGTAGAACCCTCTCCCCAGATGTATCCTACATGATATAACATACTCTCATTAAGTAAATGCTGCTCTTCCTGCAGTACGGCAACTAGTAGAACCCTCTCCCCAGATGTATCCTACATGATATAACATACTCTCATTAAGTAAATGCTGCTCTTCCTGCAGTACGGCAACTAGTAGAACCCTCTCCCCAGATGTATCCTACATGATATAACATACTCTCATTAAGTAAATGCTGCTCTTCCTGCAGTACGGCAACTAGTAGAACCCTCTCCCCAGATGTATCCTACATGATATAACATACTCTCATTAAGTAAATGCTGCTCTTCCTGCAGTACGGCAACTAGTAGAACCCTCTCCCCAGATGTATCCTACATGATATAACATACTCTCATTAAGTAAATGCTGCTCTTCCTGCAGTACGGCAACTAGTAGAACCCTCTCCCCAGATGTATCCTACATGATATAACATACTCTCATTAAGTTAATGCTGCTCTTCCTGCAGAACGGCAACTAGTAGAACCCTCTCCCCAGATGTATCCTACATGATATAACATACTCTCATTAAGTAAATGCTGCTCTTCCTGCAGAACGGCAACTAGTAGAACCCTCTCCCCAGATGTATCCTACATGATACAACATACTCTCATTAAATAAATGCTGCTCTTCCTGCAGAACGGCAACTAGTAGAACCCTCTCCCCAGATGTATCCTACATGATATAACATACTCTCATTAAGTTAATGCTGCTCTTCCTGCAGAACGGCAACTAGTAGAACCCTCTCCCCAGATGTATCCTACATGATATAACATACTCTCATTAAGTAAATGCTGCTCTTCCTCAGCGTCACGGCTACTGAGCTGAGACAAAGAGACCCAACCATCATGTAATGAGGGTCCAATAAAACAATGCTCCACCAAACCTCACTGGAAGTCGTACTACAGACGTTTAATGTCAATTCACACAATTTTTTCATGACAATAACATTTTCCAGCATCATTCAGGTATTTTTTTTCATATTTTCCAACAAAATCACATCTGAAAATGAGACATCAGCAAGTACATATCATAGATCGTCAGGATATCAAAATAATCTCCTTGTTACTACTTCCAATCTCATCTTAACATGGGTCCTCCTTTGGTCAAAAGTTTGTTCCCTCTCTAATGGGTGTGTCATGCGTTGCACACGAGTGGCGAAATTGTGCACACCCGTGTTCAGCGCGTTGCAGATGGATTATCAGCCATAGTAGCCAAAGCGTATTTGTGAATGGGGAAATATCCAAACCAAGCTACATGAAGGCTGGCGTGCCACAGGGGTCCGTGCTTGGCCCTTTACTCTTTATTGTTTATGTAAATGACATTGCTGATAAATTAAACTGTATGACAAGACTGTTTGCCGACGATACATCGATTTGTATGTCATCCAATGATAACAGTGTACTGGAACGTTCCTTAAGCACAAATTTAGCAATCTTAAGTGAATGGGCGAAACTTTGGCTCATAACTTACAATCCCGAAAAGACCAAATCGGTTCTATTCTCTCGCAAAGACAACAAACTATATTTCAACGGAAAAGAAATCAGCTCTGTAAACAGTCATAAGCACTTGAGTGTTATACTTGAAGCCAGTGGCAAATGGTCTTGTCATATAGATACCATAATTAAATCAACTTTCAAGATGATTTCCTCAATGAGAAAACTCAAACATCTACTTCACAGAAATACTATTAACAATATATATAAAATGTTCATAAGACCACACTTTGAATACGCATGTGAGGTTTGGGATGGTTGCACCGAAGGACAAAGTGAGAAATTAGAACAATTACGATTAGAAGCTGCACGCATTGTAACTGGTCTACCTAAATATGCCCCGAGGCATTCATTATATTACGAAACCGGTTGGGAACCCTTAGTTGAGCGTTGAAAGAAACGCAAACTTTGTCTTTTCTTCAAAATTAATCATAACATGGCCCCTTCCTATCTAACAGATATTCTACCCAAAACCGTTGCTGCAAAAAACTCATACAGTCTCAGAAACTCTGAAAACATCAGTGTTCCTCTCACAAGACTAAGACATTCGTGTGAATCCTTTTACCTATCGTCTATCCGATTGTGGAACTCTATTCCGTTATCAGATCGAAATTCTACGATTTCTTGTTTTAAAAATTCGTTACAAAAGCACCACCCCACGTCACCTGCGTACTTCGCTTATGGAAAAAGAAAATATAATATCTTACACACAAAACTGAGATACATGTGCAGTCAATTGAATTATGATTTAGTCATCAGAGTGAAATTATGTTAAACAGCCTTAAAAATATTGTTCATAACATACCTGTTGATGTACACTTACTGTTATACGGCAATGCAGATCACGTTGTTACAGAAAATGGAGCTATATTTAAGGCAGTACAACATTATATATATGTACAACTAAACGATTTGTGTAAAGAACTGTTCATTCAACAATGTATCTCTCTCGCTCTCTCTCTCTCTCTCTCTCTCTCTCTCTCTCTCTCTCTCTCTCTCTCATCTACATGTATAGTGTTGTTTGCATATATATTGAATTTGAAATTGTGAAAATTTTGTAAATACCAGGGAGGGGGCATTCTAAGTTGGAAGGACTTGTCCCCCAATCCCGTTCACTCCTTGTGAATAAATATGTTTAAATAAAAAAAAAAATCAGACGGTTGTCACACACGTGACGGACGCGTTGCACACCCTCTAGAATCTTCTCTCTATGAAACATAATTAAAAGGTTATTTTTCCAATAAATAAAATATTTTCTTCTTCATTAACGGTACCCAAAAAAGAGAGATGCGATGATGATATCCTCAAAAATATGTGCTGTCTGGATCAATTAGAATTGAACTAAAGGGTTTGGCAATGACACTATGGTCTTATATAAATTCGTCTACCGTAAACAAACCATTTAATCGACTTAGAATTAATATCAGTATGAGAAACACTTGATCCATTTTAATCATATTAAAAAGTGCAGAACATTAAAAACATATATTATGTCAAGAAGTCGGCGTGAGAGCACACACAGACGGCACCTAGGAGCCTTCCCCTACTCCAAAACGAACTTAAACGACCATTTCCGATGTGTCCGATTACACGCAGAGGGGTACCGTATGGAGTAAACTATATTGGTCAACTCTTAAACCGTGGGACAACTCCGCACTGTCATAATAATATTGGTATTGAAAACTGGTCTGATCACTTTAAAGTTATTTACAGCTCATGATGGCACGGGGGGCACGGGTGGCCCAGTCGTCTAAGGCGCCGCGATTCGCTGTGCAGAGTTGCGTCCCTTGGGCACGCCAGAAACCTATGATTGTGGGTTCGAATCCCGGTTCGCCCCGATTATGTTTCTAGGTTTGTCAGCACCATACCCGTGCTCGTGGGTTTCACCAAAGTGGTAAACGTCTGAGACCTGCATCACTTCGGGCTTTCCTCCCACATTAAGCTGACACGCCGTGATATGACTGGAATAATGTTAAAAGCGGCGTTAAACCCAACTCGCTCACTTACTATGTGTTGAGCACATCAGTCCCTGTTCAATGCTTTTCAAAACGTCAGGGAAGCTTTAGGGAACGCCTTTTTTCTCCAGCGAAATAAAAAATGCATCTTGGCATAGACAGGTTTACTATAGTATTATGTAAGAATCATGTGTTCCGTCACTTCAGACGTGGCGTAGGAGGAAAGCCTGAAGAAACCCATGGACACGGGTATACTGCTGATAAATCACGGATACCAATCAGGACGCTCTTGGATTCGAACCCACGATAAACGAATCCTGGTACGATCAAGGAACATAACTCTGCTCAGCTATTTTCGGCGATATAAACCCCTGGATCACCCGTGACCTGCAGATGTTATGACCACAAATGAGATCGTCTTGGGTTTGGCGTACCTCTAGCGCGCCATGTTTAATATAAAGAAAATAAGGGAATAAAAATAGGAAGACACCTATAAATGTTTTCTAGATAATTAATAATTTCCACATGCACACACGTACGCATTTTAACCATTTCCGCCACGGTAAGATATATCGCCTTGATGGCAGATGAATAAATTATTAAATGAAACGTCCTGTCCTCTATAAAACCTTTATCTCATGTGTCACCTATCAGTGTGTAACACACAACCCAGCTCAATTTACCGAGTACAATACAAACCATATATTGACGCTGGTTGAAGGTATCCTCTTTAACAATAGAGAATAGTAAAGCCACGCGATGAAGCAGCCAGCACACACTGAAATGATATGGATTTCTTCTCTCTTCAGCCACGGAGACGTATAATTTTGTCATCGATTGTAAACCTTGGCGTGTTTACTTGTTGCCAAGCAACGACCTGATCGTCTATAGCCAACACAACCCTCTCCGTCACTTCCGGCACTGACGGACATTTTGAACAGGAACAAAATGGTGACATCTTGGATAATAACATTTCTTTTATTCTATATACAAGGTAAGCTCTTGAAATATTGTGATACAAAATTCTGTGTATATTCCGAGAAATATGTTGGTAATAGATTATCCAATCCTGGAGCCGAGGTAACGGGGTGGATCCATGGCGATCCCGGGTGAACGCTGGGTGGGTATCTGACGAGGAAGTCATCGATTGCGTGCCTGACTGATTTAGCTTGTGCAACAACACTAACGATAACAGGTTGGCGGCTTGGTATTTTAGTTTTGCGGCAATTTAAGGGACATTTAAAGGTTACTGGGAGATATTGGGTAGTATATTTCTGTAAAGGGTAGATATTAGAAATCCTTACGACCTAGATTACTCATGATTGCAATGGTGCTCACACCCCTTGAAGTCGCCTGTCAGTTAAACGACGTTTCGGCTTCGTCGATAAGTGTATAGGTAACAGTTCAGGTGAAATGGGGTTTAACGTCGCGTCCAAGATTATTGCACTTATATAGTGACGCGCATGTACGTGTGTGTTTGTGTGTGTGTGTGTATGTGTGGCTGCTTGGACTAGTCCGGACTGATGCCGATTTATAGTGCTAGCCCACTGAGATACCGTGCAGCAGTTTAACATGAATACCCCACTCAGAAACAGTATACTGACTCCGAGCCGACCAGTCCTTGTTTCAACCTCTTAATGCCGAGCGCCAGACAGGGTAACAACAAGTACCATCTTTAAACGTCTTTTGCTATGACGCGGCCGGGGATCGAACCCCGGACCTTCCGCTCTCCGGGCGGACGCTCTGCCACTAGACCACGGAGGCGGTCTCATGTGTTTTGACCTATTGCATAGAAAAACATCAGTCTGCACGTAAAGTAAAACGCTCAGTGTGTTGTTAGCTGTTTCGTAAAGAACAAGGTGGGCCTAGGGATCTTTACGGTCCACTAGCTCTACATAATTTCGGAAACTTAACATTTAGAACTTGTCATGATTGTTATCAGATATGTTTATATGTATGAGAACTTGACTTCATTTCGACACTTACTCGTTTTGGACATGTTTGTTTGTTTTTTGTTTAAAGCCGCACTCAGCAGTATTCCAGCTATATGACGGCGGTCTGTAAATAATCGAGTCTGGACCAGACAATCCAGTGATTGACATCATAAGCATCGATCCACGCAATTGGGATACGATGACATGCATCAACCAAGTCAGCGAGCCTGACCACCCGATCCCGTTAGTCGCCTCTTACGACAAGAACAGTCGCCTTTTACGGCAAGCATGGGTTGCTGAAGACCTATTCTACTCCGGATCTTCACGGGTCCTGTGTCAATGTTATGGCATTTAATTACTGACAACCAGTGTACGCTATGAAGCGTCCAGTAGTACACGTACATGTCCTTAACGGTGTCAGGATGTGGTGACGCTCATCCGTGTGGTATAACAGAAGTAATAGATATGTAGGAGGGCCTGATTTAATTTTACGCCGCTTTTTGCAATATTCAAGCGATATCACAGCGGGGGACACCAGAAATGGGCTTCACACATTGTACCCATATCGGGAATCAAACCCGGGTCTTCGGCGTGACGAGCGAACGCTTTTAACACTAGGCTACCCGACCGCCCCTGATCAGATATGGAACAAGATATATATATTCATGCTTGGATGTCCTCTTTGCGTGTACCTTGTTTAATTCATAAAACGATCTACCTTCAGTTGCTGGCGATCTATAGCTCTTTTTTATAATGTTTTGTCCTGTCTAGTGATGTATTTTTATGGTTCCATGCTAGTTTTAAATAATAATCTGTGATAAGTCTGGTTATTTGACTGTCCCTTGTTGACAGGTTTTTTATAGTTTACACGTATTTATTATGTATAACCTTTGAAAGTCACGATATGGCTGAAATAATGCCGATGTGACATAAAATCTTAACTCACTCACTCACTTATTCATAAAACAAGTTTAAATTGAAGCACCGTACAATGTATGTACTTTTTACTAACAAAGACATTAGGTGGCACGGTTGGCCCTGTTGTTGCCGAGTTGCGTCCCTTGGGCACGCCAGAAACCTATGATCCTGGGTTCGAATAACTGTTAAACCGATTACGTTTCTCGTGTTTTTAGGTTTTGCTCCATACTCCAGATCGTAGGTTTCACCAAAGTGGTAAACGTCTGAGACCTGCTTGGGGCTTTCCTCCCACATCAAACTGTCACGCCATGATGTAACTGGAATACTGTTCAAGGCGGCGTTAAACCCAACTCACTCACTCACTCACTACTAGCAACGGGCACGGGTGGTTCTGTCGTCTAAGGCGCCGGGCAATTCAATGTGCAGTGTTGCGTCCCTCAGTCGTTCCAGGAAACGGTTACTGTGGGTACGAATCCCAAACTCGCCCGATTATGTTACCATGATTGTCAGCACCATGCCGTGCTCGTGGGTTTTACGGGGGCACGGGTGGCCCAGTCGTCTAAGGCGCCGCGATTCACTGTGCAGAGTTGCGTCCCTTGGGCACGCCAGAAACCTATGATTGTGGGTTCGACTCCCGGTTCGCCCCGATTATGTTTCTAGGTTTGTTAGCACCATACCCGTGCTCGTGGGTTTCACCGAAGTGGTAAACGTCTGAGACCTGCATCACTTCGGGCTTTCCTCCCACATTATGCTGACACGCCGTGATATAACTGGAAAACTGTTAAAAGCGGCGTTAAACCAAACTCACTCACTCACTCACTCACTGGTAGGTTTCACCGTATGATGTCACAGTATTGTTCAATGCGGCGTTAAAGTTTAAACCCAATTCTCTCGCTTGGTACCAGATGAAAATTGATAAATCTAGAGTTATGAGTCTTTCTATTTTAGCTGTGCATTGTGGTAGTTGTCGTTCACGTAGTTGGAGAAGTATGTGTGGAGAGTGCTGTGTTGGGGTTAACTTCTAATAAACAGTATTTGATGTCAGTCTAAAGTGACCCTGACCATACGCGGCAGATCATTTCGTTAAAACCAACGTCACGGTGCTGGCATGAATCGTAATCACGGCCAGTCTTGGATCCTGACCAAAGACCAGGGGCTCCTGGTGCGGCTAAGGGACGCAACTCTGTACAGCGAGTTCCTGCGTCTTAAAGCACTGTGGTACCATTTCCCCTATTTTTTTTCAAAAATGAAGCTATACGGTTATCTCTATCGACCTGAAAGTACTGCAGTATATTGACGTATTCCATAGCATGAGAGGCTCGCTTTTAGTTTTATGTTGATCTCCAGTTGACTGAACATTGGAGAGTATTACATTATTCATGGCACGGCTACGCTGACAAAGACAAGTCTGTTTGTCAACACACACACACATCAGCATTCATTTTATACTTGATATCTAGACACAATGCGGTACAATCGGTCTCACTGACAACTGTGGATTGCCCAGCAACCTGCTTTCAACCTGTTCAGAGTCTCTGTGTTATACTGGTATACCGTATTTCACTGGAGGGTATTAATGAGTCGCAGTTCAACAATGGACAGTTGTACCATGAAACGTATTGTCAAAGGTTGTGTATAGAACCTGAGAACAAAGCTTGTCGTTGGTCGCTGAACAATGGGACGAACATCATGTCGCCGCCTGATGTAGCCCTGCGGTTAAAGCGTTCGCGAACCAAAGACCCGGGGTCGATTCCCCACTTGGGTACAATGTGTGAAGCCCATTTCTTGTGTCCCCCGTCGTGATATTGCCAGAATAATATTAAAAGCGGCGTACTCACTCACTCATCTCGCCTGGATGCGTGACATATACTTACATGCAAACGTAACTATTTATTGTCATAATGGGATTACCTAGAAACATAATACTTCTTTTTCATTTAATCTGGGATCACTTTGTGTTTTAAAAAGTCAAACATACAGCATATGAACAAATATATATCATGACTTTTTGAAAGGTTTGTTTAATCCACATTGTTCACACGACGTTATATATCTTTTGAGTGAGTGGGTCAGTTGGGTTTAACGCCGCTTTTACAGTATTCCACTTATATCCCGGCGTGTCAGCTTAATATGGGAGGAAAACCCGAAGTGATGCAGGTCTCAGACGTTTACCGCCTCGGTGAAACCCACGAGCACGGGGATGGTGCTGACAAACCTAGAAACATAATCGGGGCGAACCGGGATTCGAACCCACAATCATAGGTTTCTGGCGTGCCCAAGGCACGCAACTCTGCACAGCGAATTGCGGCGCCTTAGGCGACTGGGCCACCCGTGCCCTTATATATCTTTTGAAATAGTAACACCGGACAAATAGACATTTGTGTGGGATAACGATAGAATGTCATTTTGAACTAGACGGTACGATCTATAGCATTTCAAATGAAGACCTACAGTCCCACCTGGGGAGTACATCGGCTCTACAGCGGATAGATTGCTTACTTCCTGAGGCAACACACCTGACTGATCTCACGCATGCGCAATCAGTGACTGAATGGTCCCTGTAAATCGATCTGTACCTGACGGGGAGGCAGCTCCTGGGACGAAGCTAGTGTTCAGCCATTGTATCAGCTGCTCGACTAACGGCTACATTAATATTGCACGCCGTCTGGTTTGTGCCTGCGTGTCCGTACAATGAGCTGTTAAGGTTACAACCCGTTTTGTAATAAAGTTGCAAAGTGTAATAATTATAACAAAACGGGTTGAGAGTCTTATTACAAAGTGAAATGCACATAGCAACCCGTTTTGTAATAAAGTTGCAAAGTGTAATAAACGTGGTGAATGATGCTGAAAGTGTTCAATTGGCACCCATAACTTGCTTATAAGTTCAATTAGGAACACAAACGGTATTTAAGTTAAGATTGGTCGTCATCATATCGATGAAAGGTTGACCTAACATTGGAATCGTTTCAAAGTGTAATGATTATTACAAAAAGGGTTGAGAGTCTTTTGTAATAAAGTTGCATATATAAAAGACTCTCAACCCGTTTTGTAATAATATTACACTTTGCAACTTCATTACAAAACGGGTTGTAACCTGTCAGATATGTCGGTGTCGGTTACACGGGTGGCCCAGCTGTCTAAGACACCGAATTCGCTGTGCAGAGTTGCGCCCCTTGGTCTTGCCATGAACGTGGGTTCGAATCCCGGTTCGCCTAGTTATGTTTCTAGGTGTGTCAGCACCATACCCGTGCTCGTGGGTTTCACAAAAGTGGGAACGTCTGAGACCTGCATCACTTCGGGCTTTCCTCCCACGTTAAGCTGACACGCCGTGATATAACTGGAATAATGTTAAAAGCGGCGTTAAACCCGACTCACTCACTCACTCACTCACTCACCGTTATATAACTGAAATACCGTTTAAAGCGTTAAACCGAACTCACTCTGTCTCTGGCCTGCCAGATGGTGAATCGTCACACAGTGCGTGATATATCTGCATCAGATGTGACACCGTGTTGACATGGAAGACGTCAGGAAAACAATATACTTGTATGCAGAGCTCCAGATAAGCTGCGTATCTGCGTAAAACACGCATCAGAAATGCAGAAATATGCAGTAAAATAAAATCCAAACGTATCAAATACGCAACGAACATTACAGTTACGCTACAAAAACTTGTGCGTATCATCAAAATATTGTGAAGTAACCCTGCATATTCGATTAGCAAATCAGCAACTTATTTTGAAATTATAAACGGGCATTCCGTCAACCTTGCCAAACTCCACGATAACAGTTACATCATGATCATTTGCCATCACACTTTCTTGTGGAAGTATCGTGGTATTTTTGAGTCCTATAAAGCTCTCTAACCCACACGACACCAGTTTGCAGGGACTAGATGAATAGTGTTTTTAAATATTTAACTTAAATACCCACATGTGAAAAAACTAGTGGGTAATAGAAATTTGAATACCCAGATAGAATTACTGATACCCAATGATTTTAAAACACCAAAAGCTTATCTGGAGCTCTGCTTGTATGTCTATGTCGGTTTGTTGTTTAAGGTCCGTGTAATGAACTGACTCCACAATTATCTTAGTAGTCAGATCAGGAACATTATAATACATAATGTACACAATACGATGTAAACAGCAAAGTTATTTGAGAGTGAGTGAAAACGATTGTACGCTTCTAGCAATAATCGAGCAACGACGGGGCACAGCAGAAATTAGATCACACTTTGCACATATTCGGCGTTACAAATAAACTCTCCGTGCTTCTATTTGAGAGATTTCTTAAAATATGTAGCACAATCTACAAAATTAGATACATCATTAGAAGTCAGTAATTTATTAAATATAACTAACATTCGTACCTTTAGGTGATTTGTTCGTTTACAGATCTACATGCTGTAAGTTGATTACCAACTGGAGTTCACCTTTAATACACTTACAGTCACACATTTAACGAATTGATGGACTACGTTTTAGTTCTGATGTGCACACGTAAGGACACGTTAGGAAGTACGCAGCCATAAATATATTCTATGATCCCTTATTCTATTCTATTCATATTTGAATTACTAATTAGTATTTAACGTTTGTCAATGAATTAATAGTGTTACAATGCTTTCCATGATGTCTCATGGTTAATTAATAACATCATACTCTCACTGATGGATGCTGCTGGGTTGTTGACATACACTTTTATCTGTATCTGAATCATTCTCATCATACCGGTATTTGCGTAGTACATGTCCTTCTTCCCGAGGCAAAGGAATTAAATGACAATAAAAGTCCGGTGGAAACTGGACTTTTACAGTCAGTTAACGCCCTTGCCTCGGGAAGATGAGTGTGCGTCTAGATCTAGATCTTGTTTTACTATAGAAACATGCAAGAAATACCTGATAATATCTTAAACAATGAACAAAACCACAACGACATTGAACCACAAAGGTTTTTGCAGCTCGCTTGTATTTGTATGTGATGTTATACTTGATCAGAAAGGTCAATGACATACAATTGAAGAGGAAAGAAAAAACACATACAACAGACACCATGTTCAATTTCATACTGTTTTACGCCGCACTCGGCATCATTCCAGCTATATCATTAGATATTGTTTATAGTCCAGGCTGGACCAGACAAAGATTACCAATGGTTGATGGCGTGGGGGCGTTCCATTTGTATCATCAGTTTGAGTCGGCCCAAAAGCCTGCCAAAACATTCAATAACACGTTATATCACCCATTATGAACTTTGCTTTAACAATCAGATCAACATGTTATCATTGTAGTCAATGTGCATACAAAATGTCATCAGAGTGAGTGAGTGAGTTGGGTCTAACGCCGCTTTTAACAGTATTCCAGTTATATCGCGGCGTGTCAGCTTAATGTGGGAGGAAAGTCCCAAGTGATGCAGGTCTCAGACGTTTACCGCCTCGGTGAAACCCACAAGCACGGGTATGGTGCTGACAAACCTAGAAACATAATCGGGGCGAACCGGGATTCGAACCCACAATCATAGGTTTCTGGCGTGCCCAAGGGACGCAACTCTGCACAGCGAATCAAATGTCATCAGATGTATAAAGAGGACGGATGACCACCCCAAGAACAATTCCATCCTCCCCCCCCCTATCACCACCCCAACCCTCGGTGTCCACCACTGCTAATGTGGAGGATAATGGCACCCTGAACAATAACGCTATTAATCGCTTATAATAACATGGAATTGCTGTATCACCATACAACACAGCACTGCAGCATTATTATATACTACGTCAATCTTTCCTTCCAGACCTCGTCCTGGGTCTTGGCGAAGAGTCATGCTTCTCCAAGATAAAGGGACATTCCTACAACTGTGAGTATGGCTGCTGCGGCAGCACCAACGACCAGAAATGTTGTGACCCACTTTCCATGATAGTCGGCATCGGCATCGGGTGCGTCATCCTTGTTGCCACCATCATTGCAATCATCGTCTGCTGCATCAAACAGCAGACACGCAACAGGCGCCGTCTCCAGCCCAGACAGAACGAACAGGTCAACATTGTGTCACAAGCGAGTAAGTACCAAACATGCATATTGGTAGTGACGGTACTATACATTATTAGCATCAGTGAACTATACATAAGGATTCAAGACTAAAAGCGAACATCGGAAGCCATTTCGTGACGGCCCACACCTTGAAGTACCTGATTTCGTTTTCAATCTGGCTCTGGTTCCACAAAGCGACCTTGGCGCTAGACTTTCGTGAATCACATTCGTCACCACTCGCCCCTTTCCGTAACCTGCAAGAAGACTCGTCCCCCTATCGATGAATGTTATGTGCGAAAATACGACAAACCAATCAGAATGCGCGTATGATTTCAAGTTCTTCGTCAAAGAACCCCTCAGAAATAATTTTTGATTTTACAAGTCTTGCATTTAAAAATATACCCAAGACACAGTTAAATGTGTTCAATCATACTGTATAATTCCTCATGTCCAGATGTGCTTTAAATTGCATCTGAAATATATATAATATATGGGGAAATATATGTGAACCATTAGCAACGAGTTGACAATTGTTTTAGGTATGCCCGTTTGCGCCAAGACGGAACCCGGTCGCAAAAATGACCATGAGAAGGGCACGAGTCGCTATTCGGCTTGTCCCGGAATAACACGAGTTGGTCACGAATGTCGTGAATCATTGTTAAAGAAAGGAAGATACGATCCTCTTACCGCTAAGACCGCTTTGTGGAACGGGCCCCGATTCCGTATTCAGTGATTTCGCCGTATATCAATGTTTTTCGGCAACCTTTGTTATCTTTCATCACAATATTTTATTACAACCGAGAGTACAGTTCTGGGTCTCGATCCACAAAGCGCTCGAAGCGCAAAGACGATCGTAACTCCAATACGTTAACATAGACTTATGATAGTCGTAGCGCTACGATCGCTTTGTGGAACGGGGCCCAGGGCCTTTTGTTGCTGACATATCTCATCACGGATACGAATATCACAGGTGTTCAGGGTTTAGGAAAATCGCCAGTCTCGGCAAATTTGATTCAAGTAATTCTAACTTGTCTAGTCTGCCTGCCATCGCAAATTATATAATGCTTCTCAGTTTAACAATTCATGATTATCCGGATTACATAGAAAGAACGTGCCAATTTCACTTGTACGAAGCACATGGTCTTCACTGGAAATCGGTACCAGAACGCAGGTGTAAGCTCCCTTTAACTTGGTCCAAGACGTCTTAGATATCTAACATGTTAAAACCCGTGGGTCGGTGTTCCACCCGATTGGGATCTTTGGTTTCTCAGCAGCATATCCGCTCACGTCAGTCAGTCGTACCTCACCGCAACTGACGCCATGATATGTTGATATGTAACTCAGGTACTCAATCACATTACAGGGGATCTTCAAACACTGGAAACAACACATGCATCAATATGCCATCAATCCTGAAACACAGATATGACAAAACGTACCTGATTTGTGCAATGGCATGTCTTTATAAACCATTGACTGGATTTTTGTTTGTTTGTTGTTTTACGCCGCACTCAGCACTATTCCAGCTATATGACGGCGGTCTGTAAAATAATCGAGTCTGGACCAGACAATCCGTGATTGACATCATGAGCATCGATCCACGCAATTGGGATCGATGACATGTATCAACCAAGTCAGCGAGCCTGACCATCCGATCCCGTTAGTCGCCTTTTACGACAAGCATAGTCGCCTTTTACGGCAAGCCTGGGTTGCTGAAGACCTATTCTACCCCGGGAAGTATCCTCTCGTGGGTAACTAAAGAGAGATGGATTGATCAACCCATCACGTTGTCAATTCCCTTTCCTGTTTATGAACACGAGTAGCCCAGTCGTCTTAGACTTCACAATTCGTTGTACAGAGTTGCGTCCCTTGGAAACACCAGAAACCTATTATCTTTGGTTCGAATCCCGGTTCGCCCCGATTATGTTTCTAGGTTTGTCTGCACCATACCCGTGCTCGTGGGTTTCACCAACGTGGTAAACGTCTGAGACCTGCATCACTTCGGGCTTTCCTCCCACATTAAGCTGACACAATATGATATAACTGGAATACTGTTCTAAGCGGCGTTAAACCCAAATTACACTTTTAAGTCTTATTTCTAGTACCGTTTTACTGCTAGTGGGGGCGTCATAGTAAGATTTAGGCTATTTCTGATTGAACCAACAAAGCTAACAAGAGGCCGTTGCTATCAACCAGTTAGCGTTTAACTCTCATGGGTTAATGTGGGTTCGTTCTTTAACTGTTACGCAATCAGATTCAGAAGTTTGTTCATTGTCATGGTAACGACATGTTAGCCTGTGCAGTCAATCCGGGTCACTTAAACAAAACATAGTAAATATTACTTTCTAAAATCGATGAAGAATTATAGCAAGATCGATAATTAGGTCGGCGTATCGTGTACGGTATCATAAAAAATCAAATTCTATATGATTTTATATGTTTAAGTATACCTGGAATATAATACCAATTAATTTGTTTGTTTTTTAAATCGCAAAGCATCGACACCCCTAAGCTTGTACATCAGCCGGTGAAGCGCAAGATGTCTTAACTGATTGTATGACACTTGTTTCAGAAGGCCCACCCGCCTACCCGGGACACCCCTACGCAGATTACTACAGTGACGGCTACAAGGGACCGATTCCACGCCCACCCCCGGGGTACCAGCCTAACCCCAACTACCCCCCTCCGATGTACGTCCCCCCAGAACAACAGCTTCTCTATGGCGCCCAGGGAGGGAAGGTCCAGCCCCTTGCTGATTCGGGGGTGACCCCTCCACCTCCCTACACTTCAAACTGAAGCCCCAGATCACCATCTTCGACCAACGTAAACAACAAAACGTAAACAACAAAATGTGAACTGGATGTTTCGGATTTCAGAATTTAACGATTTGTAGGAGATGATGGATTTTTGTCACGATTTATCTTTCATGGCATTCGAGAATAAAATCTTTGAAAACTCAAAAATGTAAATAATTTAAAATGCCCATTTATCATTAGTCTGGACAATGAGTTAAATGACTTCATGTTAGAAGTTTTTTAAAACCTGACATTGAACCTACCTATATAAAAATTTTAAAAAACATCGAAAACTAAAACAAATTTAATATCCTTTCAGACAAATTGCTGATTATTTAAACTGCTGTATTGGGAAACTACTTATATTTCAGGTGTCTTTGCCTACCGGGGCCTTCAGATGTATATTTTTATGAGATTATGTACATTTTTCTTGCTTTTATATAGTATAATTATGTGTTTATCCTTTTGTATATATGATACATTGTTTGTGAACCTTTTTTTCAAATGTGACTTGAAAACTGCTGTTTTGTATGTTCTAAAACTTTCATTCAACTTTCAGTAGTATGTCGTGACTTTCAAATGTGACCATGTACAATTTCACTTAAACGTTTCCTGTAATAATGACCGTACCCCGAGACAATAGTGTGATAGGCCATCCAGATGATTTTGATCTCATTTCTGCTATGTTGAATTCTCGGCATTCGATCTAGACCGGGCGAATCGAAGCTGATCAATTATTTATATTCAAACTGACAATTGCATGTATTGATCCTTCCTTTGGAACGAAACATTTGATCTATATTTCTACCGAGAAATCTACATGCTTTGTTAAAGAGAGTGTGTATACAGCCATGCGATGATGGCCAGTATAAAAGAAACCAATAGAAAGCGTGTGTTGATATTGCGAGTTTATATCCCGGAACCCGTCTCGTGATCACGTATATCCGGAGATCAGGATTGGCTGCTTTGTGCTTCGCCGTCGGGCGGAACAAAGGATCAACGATCAATCTATACCCCAATTACCATCCGGTATATCAACTTGTGGAATATTTTAATTGGGAAGTTGAATTCAGGAATATAAAACATTGTGATACAGTAAATGGTCGACTGCTAGGTTTAGGTAGGGGTCGATATTTGAAAATATTTATTTGAAAAATATCATCTGTTTCCGAATATGATGGAACATTTTACCCCGAAAGTAAACCGGACATGTTGGATGTTCTAAATTAAAAAATTGTGTGGCTCCTAATTTCAAATACAAAAATGTATGCTAAGCAGCATTGACAGAAAATATAATCTGTCTCCAGCGAAAATCCTAGTCCCAGTGGTCTGTCTCTGAGCTTAATTGAAACTGCTTGGATCACTATGGGAATGAGGTGAGGGTGGATGAGAAGATGGCGTTGGTATTTAGCTGGTATCGGGTGATGAATTGGTAAATTCAGGAATAGAGTTTGGTTGTAAGGGCCGTTCCAGAATTATGAAAACGGGTATCAAAATTAGAATTTTAGAATGTATTTCTTAGTTTGGGTGGAAAAATATTTAATGTATTTTAATTTCATTTGAGTATTTATTGGACATGCTCCCTCGGCCTCACAAAGGCAGGGGACTGATCACCGAACACCAGCACTCGAGTAACCATCAGGGAGCCAGTATGTCGACCACAAGGCCATGAAAATGTGGACAAAGTTCTCAGATGATCGATGGGGCAACGTCCACTTGTTTCCATACATATACTCGATACAACATCCACGGGTGTATTTGAACGAAAGGCTTTATTCTTTTCCGATTAGGTCTCTAGATATTTACAAATAATACCCCCATGTTACACCACCTCGCCGACCACGACGTCTCTACTGCTGATACTGTGTATATGGTATTTACTGTCATTTTCTGTGTGCATTGGTGGATTTACAACTTGCAATGTGAACAAATATTCTGTGATATTTATAAACATTTGAATCGTGTTTACTGTCATATTATTTTTGTGATTAACTTAGAGAACTGTGTAACATGTGTGTGTGTTTAATATTTAGCAACATATGTACGTGTATTAGAGTTAATGATGCTGACATAAGTCACACAACATCGATACATATATTGAACTAAAATCTATTATATTGAACATAAATCTATGATATTTAAATAATACGCCACATTATAAAATATTAATGAAACAAATACTAAGTTAATGTTTTTTCATTTTCGATAATTCGGGATATTATATCCACATTCTATGATAATAGAGTGGAGATATACTACTCAAAAGAAGTTAAGAACCATCCTATTCTTTCATGTTATTACAGTTAATCTGTCATGGTATGACAGTGACGATGCTGCCATGCTGGCTTGACAGGTTGACTGTAGTACTATGAAAGAATCCGGTGGTTCTTAACATGTTTTAGTAGTATATATTACCCTGGATAATCGGGGAGGGTTGAAAGATAAACGAAATAAGTACTATGTTGAGACCTATTTGGAACTGCTAAACGATTGGTCCAATCAATGAAATGCAATTCAATTAGATATTAGTGTGTGTCCGACGATCGTTTACAGAACGTGTATATTGTATAGCATTTTGAATTAAATATCTTCTTCATTCAATTCTATTTCAACTGATTTTCCACATAGTAGATATAGACAACCTCCACACCCAAAGTCCCGTGTCTCTCTCGTCATCTTCATCGGCATCTTCTTTATCGTTCTTGGAGAGACACACATGTAGAACTAGCGACATTGCTGTGGTGAGTGTCACTATCTACTTGTTCTTCATCCGAAGTTTGTCAAACGAAAGTTCCCGAAAAGTATTGCTTGATTATACTGATACATATTTTACCTTTGATTTAAGTTCATTACTCCTTTTCAGGAGAACGCTGATTGGCCAGTAACTCCGAAACCTTCCATGGCGCACAGACAAATTAATAAATACAAATTACTTGAATAATTCTGAAAGTTTGTCAGTTCGACTTTTAAAAATGATATGTCCGTAACTATTCAACTGTCAGTTAAACCCAGTAACATTTTCTTATTGCGTATCAGAAGTGCCTTCCTATAATAACAGTACTTTGGGACAAAGACGGTCCAGTGCATGGTCTGGGGCGCGGCATCACGCTGTGCAGAGTTGCGTCCCTTATCCAGGCCGTGATCCGCTGATCGTGGGTTTGAATCCCAGATTTGTCCCGATTTTGATCATGTCGGAACCATGAATTTTCCTCGCACTAGACGACATGACGAAAGAACGGAATTAGCGAGACTTCTCTGTCTGCTTTGCTAAAAACCGCCCTGATGGTGCTGGAATATTGTCCAAAGCGGCGTAAAACATCACTCACTCACCCATTTGCCAGTTTACGTATGTTAGATACTGTAAGGCCCACCAATGTTTTACATCTACATGAATCTATATGTACATCTGTCCTTGTGGGATATACAGTGAAACATATCTTACCAATATCAGAAAACCATTCATCTGGTACTAAAAGAATATAAATAACAATAACATTAAGTTAATCTGCTTCTTCGGCTGTTTTCGTGTTGGACTTTAGACTCCATGGACTTGTACAGAAATCTCGTATTAAAACTTCACTTTCAACACCAATGTATTATTGTCATCAATGGTTTCCCGAACCTGTAACAAACGTGTCCTCTCCATCAATTCCGCGACCTACACAAGACCAAAGTCAGCAATGGAGTAGTGATTTTGCATGAATTCACGGAGACCGTGTAACGCCAGATCCAACCGCATATAGTTCGTATAACGCGGCGGTCGTTATCGAAGTCAGGTTAATCTGTGCTGAACAGATATAAAGTATACACTTGGATTTGAAGACAAAACAACTTGGATTGCTATATGAGGTAAACGACTGCTGCTTGGTTGTCTTCCATCATGTGACAGTCACGTGCACAAACCTATTTCCAATCTGGCTGTCACCAATGCTGGCAAACTCCTGCAGAACCCTTAAACTGTTCACTGTGTGGAATCGCTGTCCGGCAGATCTGAATTACATCCTCCATTTTGATAGGATTACACCAGAAAAGAAGCAAACACGTGCGCACGTTAAGAGAAAGTTTTATAGTTTTAGTATAAAAATGGTAGAATATACCCACTAAATTTATGGTGAGGTGAAATGGGGTTTAACGTCGCGTCCAAGATTACTGCACTTACATAGCGACGTGCATGCACGTGTGTGTGTGTGTGTGTGAGAGAGAGTGTGTGTGTGGCTGCGTGTACTAGTCCGGACACACAATGCCGCAGTGTTTAACATGACTACCCCACTCAGACACATCATACTGACTCCGAGCCGACCAGTCGAACCCCGGACCTTCCGCTCTCCGGGCGGACGCTCTACCACTAGGCCACGGCGGCGGTCTCTAACTCTATGCACACAAGATGTATATATATAAGTAACGGACCACTACACCAATATCTGTAGACATTCGACTCGTAACACCGATAATTCGCTGTGTTGTTTAATGCGATAAATTCAACAATGCTGATTTGATAATCCCAGTCTAATTACATTATTGACAAGTATTCTTCATTTAGATGTTCACTACACTGATTTAACTAATTCTTTTATCTTGATTATTCTAAACGTTGCAAGGAGGGACACCGAAAGTCAGCACCCCTGTGGTCCCGTTGAAAGGATTACGCTGAAGGCATTGAACGAATCACACATTTTTCAGATAGATAGATAGTGTATACATAGAAGAAGTTAATAATGTACTGGAGATTTATGATAGATGTTCTCATCAAGGGGAGACAATTCTTCTGGGTGATTTTAATGCAGACCTGCGGCATGGAATTATATTGAAACGCAGAGCGAAATATCTGCAAAGAGTGCTCACTGAACGGAATCTAATCTCTGTCGTACCCCTTGACGATAATGCCTTTTTTACCTTCACAAGTAAATGTAAAACTATAAGAAGTATGATAGATTATGTGTTCATTAATCTCCAACATGTTAGTAACGTTGTTGGTTATACTTTAGATACTGGTGTTCAATACTCAGTATCAGACCATTGTCCGATATTCCTATGTCTGAGTACTGATTCCCAGCCACGCCACCATGGCGGTGAACATCTAAACTGGCGTAAAGCTAATGACGTAGACTTTATGTTATACCGATATGAAACTGAAAACTATTTTAGATGTGCTCAGTTTGACGAAACTCAGTACGCATCTCCTCATGAATACATTGAAAGTTATCACGACTATATCCTACAAGCGTTACATGCTGCAGCTAAACTAAGTATACCATCTTCAAAATTCCAATCTCATTTAAAACCATACTGGAAAAAAGATAATTTAAATACGTTGCATCGTACAATGCGACAACGCCGTAGTGAATGGATCTATAATGGTAAATCTCATGATAAAGAGGATGCAAATTACATTGAGTATAAAAGAGCAAAACGTATCTTTAGGAAGCAGCATCGCCGTTCCAAACAAAAACTGAAAGACGAAAAGTTTCAGGAAATATATGAAGCAGCTGAGGTTGATATAACAGAGTACTTTAGAGTAACCAAGAAATATAAAAGAAAGAAGGAACAAACCCAGACGCTTGTGTATAATGAAGAGTCCTGTAATACACAGGAAGGAATTTGTAATCTGTTTTCCAAATATTTCAAGGATTTATCAATGCCAAATCATGATATCAATTTTGACTCAGATTTTACTGATTATGTGTATATTCGCATGGAACAGATTGAAAATAACTCGTATAATGACCAAGGGAACAGTGACGTTAGTTCCACGTTGATTTGTCCTTTCACATCTGATGAGTTATTGGCAACTATAAAACGTCTAAAAAGTGGAAAATCGCCTGGTCCCGATGGCATAGTTAATGAACATATCAAATACTCTGGTAGATCTATTATCCAACACCTTGTTATATTTTATAATAAAATTGTTTCTCATGAATATGTACCTAAAATGTTTAACGTTGGAAAGATTTTACCTATCCATAAAGGCCATGGTAAACGTAAAGACGACCCCACTAACTACAGAGGTATTACCGTCACTCCAGTATTAAGTAAACTGTTCGAAAGACTTCTGCTGAATAGAATTGAAGAGTGGGCAAACAAATCTAAAGGCTTCCCCCACCGCTTTCAATTTGGATTTAGGAGAGGGGCTGGGGCAGAAACTGCCCTGTTTACATTAATGGAAAGCATAGCTTATTATAACGAAAGACAGTCTCCAGTTTACTGCGCTTTTCTCGACAACGAGAAAGCTTTTGACAGAGTCTGGCTTAATGGTCTTTTCTTAAACTGTATAACTTTGGTATTAATGGAAAATTATGGCGACTTCTACGCACAATATATACCTCAATGCAGTCATGTGTAAGCATTGGAGGTTTTACCTCAAATGTGTTTCATGTTAAGCAAGGTGTTGGCCAAGGTCGCGTTTTATCGGCATGGTTTTTTACTCTATATATTAACGACTTGTTGTATTCACTTGATGATTTAGGGCGTGGCTTGTGTCTTCCATGGGGTAATACACCCGGCATCCTATTAGCAGACGATACTACGCTGTTGAGCAGCTCCTCTGACGGACTGCAATGTCTACTGAATAATATATACACCTATGCTAATAGATGGCATTTGAAATATAATGCCAGTAAAAGTGCATTTCTACTGTTTGGGAATATTCGCAAATCTGTCTCTCAATGTGTCTACATTGGTTCACAAGTACTTCCTAAAAAGGAAAATGTAACTTATGCTGGATTGCTTCTAAGTACATCAAAGAAAACCTTAGAACGTACCCATCTAATATGTGAAAAACTCAGAATGTTAGTCAATATAAATTATAATCATGGACTATACTTTGGTGGCTTAAATCCTATCCCAGCTGTTCGTATATGGGAAAGGGTAATTTTACCATGTGGATTATTTGCTTGTAGTGTATGGGGTAAACTGTCACCGAAGGAATACGAAATGCTTGAAATTATTCAACGTTATTTTTGTAAAAAGATTCAAGGACTGTCTAGACGCACTCCTTCCGTCGTCACCAGAGATTGTCTGGGTTTAATTTCTCTCCAGGCGTACATTGATCAACGAGCTCTCTTATTTCTGGGAAGACTATGTAATAGTGACATTAACTTTGCATTTAAAAGACTATTTCAGCACAGACTTGTTCAGTTTGAACTCGATACAATTAAAGAAAAAGATGATAAATGTAAAATGTCACCCTTGTACCACATGCTTTCACTTGTAAACAAGTATGAACTCAATAATGACATAAACACATATACCATTTATTCTCATTTCCCCTCAAAACATGCATGGGCGAGTCGAGTTAAAGAACAAATAAGCGTAGGTGACCATAACATAATTCATGCAGAGATTCATTCAAGAGAAAACCTAAAACGATACTCTCTTATACGATCACCTAAGGTACACAGACTTTGGTTACTAACAATTGAAAGGCCGGAACACTTCTATGATTTAGCATATTTATTATGCCTTAGCACCTACAGTATACAATCTGATGAATGTTTATGCGGCACATTTGCTTTTGATATTATCAAACATGTGTTTATGTATTGTAAAAAGACTCAACAACAAAGAAATATTCTTGTTGAGTCTATTATTGATTTGCTAGATGTGACAACTTTTTCTAGTATCTGGAACGATGATGACGATACCTTTCTGTCCTTTTTACTTGGCGGTTTGCCAACAGAAAGTACTATGGCAATTGAATACAATCTATGGGCAAATATCATGCTTCGTGTATGTAAAACTGTTAAAATGTGGAAAAACCTACTAAGAAACATTATTTGATAACGATGTGAAACTGTCTGTACATACAATATATCAGCTGTTATATATATATATTTATATCTCATATCAATGTATCTTCATCAACTGGAGGAAATAAAGATGATCTATCTATCTATCTATCTATCATGTCTTCTTCTCGAATATCTTTAGGGTATGGCAAATCGGTGGGGTTCCACAGCACATATACTCTCCAAAAAGTAGGGGACGATGATATATAGAGGATTCATCACGAGTGTTTTTTAATATGGGACATATCAACCGAGTCTTAGTTAATCGGTATTTGCCGAGCCTTTGGCGAGGCAAATACCGATAAACGGGACGAGGTTGATATGTCCCATATTAAAAAACACGAGTGGTGAATTCTATTTATCATTTTCACATTTTTGCTTCCAAATTAAGGAATAATTGCATTAAACATTAACATCAGCAACTTGTCGAAATCTTACGTATAGATCGTGCGTAGTGATACATGTTTTCCATAGCCATGTAAACCAAAATAAACAATTCGCTGAGAAAAAAAGTTCCTCGGATTATTTTAAACAAAATACTTGAACAGACTTTTGCAGAATAATTGAAACTTTAATAACCGTAACAACAACGATTCTGTGTAATCTGATTATATCTCTGGTGTAACTTCACTTATAATATATAGTTTCAAATCAAACCGCTCGCTCTTCCGGTTATCTAATTTGCATATCTAATTTGCATACTTATGTCATTGGGGTATGACATACATGTTTTTATGTCATGCATAAGCTTATGTCATGGATAAATGCTTAAGTTAAATGATAAATAACTGTTATGGTCTGTCG